CTCTCTGACCCTCCCCTGCTCATTCTGTCTCTCTCTCAGAAAATAAATAACGCATAAAACAAAAACAAAAAAAAGCATTCTTCCTCCTACAAAAAGGCAGAATTTAATGAAATTTAAGCAAGCATTAAGTCCTAAATTAATCTTCCACTTTTATTTTAAAAGAATTTATTGTAACCTGTAATTTTTAAACCAAGTATAGAGATATTAGGAAAAGAATCAGTTTTTGTTATTTACAATACTCCACTTCTAAGAGATTTTTAGAACATCAAAAATATATCAAAGAAACTTAAATAGAAGGTAAATAAAACATTCACATGACTTCTTAGAACTGATACACACAAGATAAATACATTTAAAGAAAATATGGAAATAAATTTGCTGCTTAAGAAAAAAATTTTATTGGGCCACCTGGGTGGCTCAGTCAGTTTTGAGCGTTCAACTCTTAATTTTGGCTCAGGTCATAATCTCATGGTTCCTGAGCTTGAGCCTCACATCGGGCTCTCTGTCAGCACAGAGCCTGCTTTGGATCCTCTGTTTAACCCCCTCTCTGCCCCACCCCCGACTTGTGTTCTCTCTCTCTCTCAAAAATAAAATTTAGAAAAAAAGAAAAATTGTTATTAAAAATGTTTTATACACCTTACGGATACATACCCCACACTCTGCTACATCTCTATATTTTCCAAAATGAAGGACCTATGATCCAAAACAAAAAATAACAGTATCAGATCAGTATATCTGAATGAAAGTCACCAGAAACAACAAAAGGAGAAAATTAATACCACTAATTATAAACAGAAAGTTTCATGAAAAAAAGCAATACATACACGTGCTTTTGTGTTTCGGTTAACCGTTTCATAAACTCCCATGTAAAATTCAGGGTCAAACATATCTTGGATCATACAGCGAAACTTCACAAAACTGTTAGGTTTCAAATAATGAAGGGGAACTTCATTCAATGATGGTACCTTAAAGGAAAACAAATCAATAAAATATTCTTATCTGTAAAACATTAAGCACATATACGGAGGCTATGTATCCAGACCCAAACTGCAACACACACACACCCCTCAAACCCCAGTAGGAAGTCAATAATCTCCACAGTTAACATAAGTGCTAGGCACAAAAGTATGGAGTTCTTCCAAGTTTGTATAATGACGTTGGACTCTAATGTAAACTTCACAAGTAGCAGAAAGGCATTTGCCTTATTCAGATCATCTCTTAAACTAGTATGTGCCAGGGGCACCTGGGTAGCTCAATTGGTTAGGCATCTGACTTCAGCTGAGGTCATCATCTTGTGGTTCGGGAGTTCGAGCCCACATCAGGCTCTGTGCTGACAGCTCAGAGCCTAGCGCCTGCTTCACATTTAATGTCTCCCCCTCTCTCTGCCCCACCACCACTTGCACTCAGTCTCTCTCTCAAAAATAAACAGTAAAAAAATTTTAAAGAAACTAGTACATGCCAATTCTTTTTAAAGGAAGGTAATAAAACAAAGATAAGAGACTCACACACCTATTGATTTTTTTGTCTTAGAGAGAGTAACATGGTCAGTTACTGCCACCTAGAGGCAGCAACACAGAAGCACTGAACTGTTTGAATTTAAGTTTCAGTTGAAAGAGGGCAAGATCTTTGAACACATATACACTTAAAGCAGAAGGCAGGACACATTAATGTACATAGTTTAAAATTTTATGTGGGTTAACACTCTACTGAGAGAAACTGGAAGTCAGCTCCAACCCTCTCCTCACGAAAAAGCAATAAACTTACCCATTTTGGAGCATTATTTTCCTTCAGCTTTTCCTTAAAATATTCAATTACTTTCTTCTCCCAGTCAGGATTAACTCCATTTTGGGCTGAAAGAAAAAGGCACTTTTCACAGTTACAGGTACAATATTACAATACGTAACAACAGGCTCTGGTCAGGTACAACACTTCCTGTTCAGGTGAAGCCCCGCACTGGGTACCCAGGAGACTGCCCTTCAGGGGCCTGGGTGTCGCAAGGCAGGACAGAGTGGACCTCGTGCGGGCTCTCAGGAGCCAACACCCGAGCTGAGAATACCCACAGAACAAGGCCTAAAGCTGCCCAGACAAAGCGGCATATGAACCATCACCTGTAAAGCACAATGCTCTTTGAAAACATTTTATACAGATTTTTTCCCCTTACAATTACCCTGAAATAAAGAGGGCCTTCTTAAAAAATAGTAATAATAATTTGGGAGTAATTTCAAACTTTCCAAAAAAATCACAAACAGTAAGTACAAAGAATACCTCTATCTTTGCTCCATTTGCTTTATCTGCTCTCATACACAGTTTTCTGACCCAAGTTAGATTAAGTTACACACATCATATACTCTTGCCTTTAGGGATTTCAATGTGTATTTCCTTAGACAGATTATCTTACATAACTAGCAGTGCTGTTACCAAGCTCAGGAAATTCAAAGCGGGTACAATACTTTTCATCTAACCCACCATCCATATTCCAATACTATCCTTCATCGCACTTCTTCCTCCTCAGTACACGAGCCAGTCTAGGATCACATACTGCTTTTAGCTATCATGTCTCTTTAATCTCCTTCAATCTGGGGCAGTTCCTCAATCTTTATTTTTTATGACATTCATATTTAAGAAGAATATCAACCCTATAAAAATATAGGCTTCTCACTTTGGGTTTGTCTAATGTTCCCCGATATTCGACTACAGGTGTGCACTATGAGACTATTTCATAAGCGATGCTGTGTCCTTGTAATGGTATCATCTAGAGGCAAGATGTCCATCCTCCCCTCACTGATGATGTCCACCTTAACCACCCAGTCAAAAGGACAGCCAATCTCTCCACAGGACAGTTACTTTTTTCCCCCTTTACAACTGTTAAGTAATCTGCAGGAAGCACTTGAAGACTATGCATTTTTTTGTTACAAATCTTGCCCCACCCCCAGATTTAGCATCCATGACTCTTACAATCATGATAGCAAAATGAGGAGAAAGGTGTTTTTAACGTCATGTTAAAGAGAATAAAACCGGGGCACCTGGCTGGCTCAGTTAGTAGAGCAATTCTTGATCTCAGGGTTGTAAATATGAGCCCCATGTTGGGCGTAGAGATTACTTAAAATCTTAGGGGCGCCTGGAAGGCTCATTCGGTTAAGCGTCTGACTTCAGTTCAGGTATGATCTCACTGTTGGTGGAGTTCGAGCCTTGCTGACAGCTCAGAGCCTGGAGCCTGCTTCACATTCTGTGTCTAACCTCTCTCTTCTGTCCCTCCCCTGCTTACACTCTCTCACTCTCTCAAAAAATAAACATTAAAAATAAATTAAAAATAAAAATCTTTAAAAAACAAAGAAAACCAAGGCTTTGAAAAAAATTACAGGAATTGGCAAGACCAAAGTGACTTACTGACAGATTTAGGAATATCTATTTGGGGAGAACCAGCAAGCCACATTGCTAGCCAATACTTCCACCATTTATATTCATCGCACAGGTGCTATGGCGAGGTGAAGTAAAGGAACTATTTGTGACAGAGCGGATTGTTAGAAATACTCATAAAATTCCATGAACACCATGCTTATTAGCAGGGCTTCCAAACGCTTTCACTTAATCGAGCAATGTCTAGTTCTGGAAAAAGAGGGAAGAATAAACTGCCGAGGCGATCCAGATGTGCAACAACAATCAGAGCCACTGGGGAACTTGGTCCTAGGAGCATGCCCTGACCACTGTCGTTAGGATCACCTGGGCAGTTGTTAAAAATGCAAAATTTGGGGCGCCTGGGTGGCTTAGTCGGTTAAGCGTCCGACTTTCGCTTAGGTCGTGATCTCGCGGTTCGTGGGTTTGAGCCCCACGTCGGGCTCTGTGCTGACTGCCACCTCAGAGCCCGGAGCCTGTTTCAGTCTGTGACTCCCTCTCTCTCTGACCCTCCCCTGCTCACGCTGTCTCTCTCTCTCTCCTAGAAATAAATAAAAAACATTTTTAAAAAATGCAAAATTTTCAGCCCATTCCAGACCTACTGAAACGGAATTTCTGCAGCTGAGGCCTAGCAACTTGTGTTTTAAAATGCCTAAATGGCTTCGCAGCGCCCGTCCCTTCCCGCTGGCCGTCCCCCCTCCTTGCAGCAGCCACAGCGCGCAGCCGGGGCGGCAGGACCCCAAGTCCCGCTTCCACAAGGAGGGGCAGTGGCGCGGGGCCGTCATGGTCCTGCCCCACCCGCGCCCCGCAGTGAGGCGCCCCACTGCTGCGCCATCACACCCGGTCCAGTGGCAGCGGGCAGGGCCTTCCACTCAGCGAGCCTCCAGAGGCCGGCGTCCCAGAGAAGGCGGCACGAACCCGCCATCTCGGTGGATGCAAGAAGGCAGAAGCGGTCTGCGGAGGCCTGCAGGAGGGAGCCGGGCTCCGAGTCCGTCCTCTTTCCCTGGAAGACCTCGGACCCCAAGAAGGGGGACGGCTCTCCAGAAGCTCTCCAGGCTCCAATATGTCATGCCCACACAGAATGTCTGCAGGGAGGAAGCCAGAGTCACAGCAGAGGAGGGAGGGCTGCAGCCAGCGCTCGCACAGCCGGTGCCAACGCTGGACTCGGATGCCCCCGCACAAAGGGCCAAGGAAGCCGCAGAACAGGATGTGGAGAAGAAAAAGAATAAGGTGCTGCTGGCAAACTGTGATAAAAAAAAAATAATAAAAATACACAAATAAAATGCCCCAGAAGTGAGTCTGATGCACACTAAAGAGAGCCACTGTTGTACTAGAGTGCCAATAAAGGATTACCAAAATGGCCAAAAAAAAAAAAAGGATGGGCATTTTTGTTTCCAGTAAAAAAGGATGTTTAAAGAAAAGGCTGATGCACAGAAGTGACAGCCACTGCAACGCTACTATTCTGAGTGCATTTATGCAAGAAACATGACATGCTGGGTGGGGGAGGGCAGGCCTCAGTGGAGCATGCAACTCGTGACCTCACAATGGTGAGTTCAAACCCCACACTGGGTGCATAGCTTACTTTTTAAAAACTAAATAAAAAATAAAAGTTAAGCAAGACCATGCCACAGGATGATGAAGCTACATCAAAGAGTGATTGGGAGGTGGTAAGTTACATGTACACAGATAGGGTTCTCCTAAATAGAGGCCAGCTTACAAAATACCTGGTACTGCTGGACAATTAAAGGGCTGCAATAGATAATCCAAAAAAAAAAAAAAAAAAAAAATCAAGCGTGTAGACACTGTCCATTATTTATGAAGCCAACAATGTGCCCAGCACTCCACCAGGTTGTACAAGGGTACTGAGAGAGCTGGAAATTTTGAAGCAAAGATAAGCAGTGAACAGAGACTAACAGCCAAAAGCACTGAGAAACTAATGCAGGTCAGATCATCTCAGAGAGGGCTTCCGACGGAGCTGCTGCTGGAGCTGGGCCTGCAAAGAGGGGCAGCCCCGAGCCACGCCGAGGGAGAAGGAATTTGTGATTTCCAGACACGGAGCAAGGACAGGATGGGCGCTCCCGGATATTTAGGTAGAGAGAGAGCACTCAGTGCCTGGAAACAGCCTGTGGCCACTATGCCTCAGTTCGGTCTCAAAAGTAAGCCGTCCCACAGGAAAAGAGAGAAGCAGATTCCCACAGACACAGTCTAACTATCTGGCTATAATTGAGGCCGACACTAACCCACTCACAGATTCAACTACCTAAGATAATGTATTCATCATCTTGAGTTTAAGTAGGACCAAGTTGGTCACACAAATATCACTTTATGATATTTCCTAGGAGCTCTTGGCCATCTGAATTTGACCACCACTACACTCAATCTTATTCTAGTTTAAGACTCGGCGGGGGGTGGGGGGGAGAGTACCTGGGTCAGTCAGAGGTTCTCCCTCACCAATACTCCATCTTGTCAATCTTTTTAATCCTAGCCATTGTGCTGGTCTATCACTGTGGTCTTAATATGCATTTCCCTAATGACAAATTAGGCTGGATACCTTTTCATATTCATTCACCATTCCAATAAATTCTTTTGCGAAGTGCCTACTCACAATTATGTCCACTTTAAAAAATGGGTTTGTTGTGGCATCAACAATTACACTAATTTCCTGTGTATTCTAGACGGAAGTCGTAAGTCAGATATACACGCATGGCACATTATTTTCTCCTAATCTGTACTGTCTTTTTGACATTCTTCATGGTATCTTTTGATGAGAAGTCCAATTTGCCAAGTTTTTTTCTTTCATAGTAACAGACCTCAAGCTGATGAAAATATTCTGAGGTTTACTTTCCATACTTCAGTCTGTAACCCACATCAAATTAATGTTTTGGTCAATATTGTGACATAGGGGTTGAGGCTCATTTTTTCCCCCAAAAAGATATCCACTTGTTCCAACATTAATTAAGAGGCTTTTCTTTTAGCATCGAATTGCTTTGCACTTGTATCAAAAATCAACTCACTGTACTTATGTTTCTCTATTCCCACACTGGTATATTACACTGATCTATTTATCTCTATGCTGTCTTAATACTATACTCCTACTGTCTTAACCATTATGGCTCGGTCTCGAGTCTTAAAAATCAAATAGTTAAGTTCTCCAAGTTTATCTTGATTATTCTCATCCTTCACATGTCTGTGTAATTGAGAGGACCAGCTTATGGACTTCTGTGTTAAGTCTGCTGAAATTTTGATGAGGGTTGTGTTGAACCTGCAGATAATTTGAGGAGAAGTGACATCTTCACTGAGTCTTCCAATCTATGAATTCTCCCATGGGGGAACTCCCATAAGGGGGCCTACACATGGATTCTTCCAGACTTCATGTGTATCTTTTTCCCTTATGATCCAGCTGTGTACCTTTACTATCCTGCTGTAAGAAATCTTAGCTTTGAATACAACTACACACGGAGTCACATTAAGTCCTTCTAGTGAGTCGGGGCACCGGGGTGGCTCAGTTGGTTGAGCGTCCGACTTCAGCTCAGGTCATGATCTCCTGGTTCGTGGGTCTGAGCCCCATGTTGGGCTCTGTGCTGACAGCTAGCTCAGAGCCTGGAGCCTGCTTCACTTCTGTGTCTTCCTCTCTCTCTGACCCTCCCCTGCTCACACTCTCTCTCTCCCTCTCTCAGAAATAAATAAAACATTAAAAAAAAAAAAAAAGTCCTTCTAGTGAGTCTCTCAAGACAGAAGTGGTCTTGGGAACCCTACTACATGAGTACACCAAAGTTCATTTCTCTTGACTGCTGAATAGTATTCCACAGTATAGCTAAATGACAATTTGTTTCTCTATTTACTCATTAAAGGACATTTAGATTGTCTCCAGGTTTAACTATGAACAAAACAACTAATCATTTGTGTACAGGGTTTTTGTGTGAACATAAGCTTTCATTTCTCTAAGTAAATACCTAGGAATGGGACAGCTGAGTATATGGTAAATGTATGGTTAACTTTTAAGTTTCCTCCTCTTTCCCAGAGTGGTTATACCATTTTGCATTCTCACCAGCAATGTATAAAAGATCAAGCTCTTTGTATCCTTTGTATCCAGCTTTTCGTACTGTCACTTTGTTTTCCTATTTTAGCTGTTCTAATAGGGGTGTAACATCTCATCATGGTTCGTATTTGCATTTCCTTAGTGGCTAATGGTGTTGAATTGCTGAGGCATCTATTTAATCTTTGGCCCTTTTAAAAACTGGGTTAATTATCATTGTGTTTTATGTATTTATTCTGGATACAAATTTCATCTATGTTTTCAAATAAGGCAATAGCTTATCTTTCCATTCTAATAATATTTTTCGCAGAACAAAAGTTTTTAGTTTTGATGGTTCTCAAATTTTTGTTTCACGCGTTGCGTCTTTGGTGTATGCCTAAGATCTCAATGCCAAACCCTGGGCCACAAAGATCTTCTACTTCTAAAAGTTTTATATTTTGGGGCGCTTGGGTGGCTCAGTAGGTTTAAGTGGCCAACTTCAGCTCAGGTCATGATCTCACAGTTCGTGGGTTCAAGCCCTACGTTGGACTCTGTGCTGACAGCTCAGATCCTGGAGCCTGCTTCAGATTTTGTATCTCCCTCTCTGACCCTCCCCCATTCATGCTCTCTCTCTCAAAAATAAAAATAAATAAGTTTTCTATTTTTACAGTCTTAAATTTTATACTTAGGTCTATGACTCACTTTGAGTTAATTTTTATATAAGGTATGACATTTATAGGTTAAAATTCACATTTTTGCAAACAAGGTCTCGTTGTTCCCACATTTATGTGGAAAATACCTTTTCCATGAATTATCTTTATACTCTCTCAAACAATAAAGGCGCTAAGAATGAACCTTACAAACATTATGTGAAGTGAAATAATCTAGACACAAAAGGACAAATACTGTAGGATTCCACTCACATGAGGTACCAAGAATAGGCAAAATCAAGGGCGCCTGGGTGGCTTAGTCGGTTAAGCGTCCGACTTTCGCTTAGGTCGTGATCTCGCGGTTCGTGGGTTCGAGCCCCGCGTCAGGCTCTGTGCTGACTGCCAGCTCAGAGCCTGGAGCCTGTTTCAGAGTCTGTGTCTTCCTCTCTCTCTGACCCTCCCCTGCTCACACTGTCTCTCTCCTAGAAATAAATTAAAAAAAAAAAAAATAGGCAAAATCAGAGAGAAAAATTAGAACAGAGGCCCTTGTTGGGGGGACACACAAAGGAGGGGGAGCTGATGGTGATCTATTTCATCGTGGGTGAGGGTGACTATGTGGTGTGGTAAGCAGAATAATGCCACATCCTAATTCCAGAAACTGAATATATGACATGACAAAGGGGAAGTTAGGCAGAAGATACAGAATTGAGGTTGATCATTGGCTGACCTTAAAGCAGAGAGATTATCCATGTGCATCCAATATAATCACAAGGGTCCTTACCATGGAAGAGGGAGACAGAAGTCGTCAGAGTGAGGAGAAAAGAGCTCGGAAGGGGCCATGAGCCAAGAAATGTTGGCAGACTCCAGAAGCTGGAAAACAACAAGGAAACAGATTCTCCCCTAGAGCCTCCAGAAAGGAATGCTGTCCTGTTGACAACTAGATTTCACCCAGTAAGACCCACATCATTCTGGCCTCCAGAACTGTAAGATAATAAGTTTATGCTGTTTTAAGTCCTTAAATTTGTGGTGATTTGTCACAGTAAAAATAGGAAATACAATTTTTTGAAGAACTGCTCCATTAAGTTGTTGAATTTATGTTCATAGAGTTATCTTGTATTATCCTTTCCACATCCATAGAGTCTATAGTAGTATCTCTTCTTTCATTCCTGGTACCAGTAATTTGTGTCTTTTTTTTTTTCCCCTTTGCTAGTCTGCCTATAAACTTATGCACTTTACTGATCCTTTTGTTTAAAAAAAAAAAAAAAGTTTTGTGTTTCATTTTCTTTTTTCTTGTTTACAATTTCATTTCTGCCTTACCTTTATTAGTTCCTTCTGTTTTGTTGTTTTTTTTTTCCCAAAATGTTTATTTTTGAGACAGAGAGAGACAGAGCATGAGCTGGGGAGGGGCAGAGAGGGAGACACAGAATCTGAAACAGGCTCCAGGCTCTGAGCGGTCAGCACAGAGCCTGATGCGGGGCTCGAACTCATGAACTGTGAGATCATGACCTGAGCCGAAGTTGGACACTTAACCAACTGAGCCACCTAAGCGCCCCTCCTTTCTTCTCTTTGACTTGGGTTTATTTTGCTCTTCATTTCTAGTTTTAAGATGGAAGCTTAAAAGAAAAAAAAAAAAGAAGCTTAAATTATTGATTTGAGATCGTCTTCTCTTCTAATAAATGCACTTAATGCCTCTTAGCACATCTTTGGCTGTATCCCACAAATTTTGATATGCTGTGTTTTCATTTTCATTTAGCTCAAAATATTTTAAAATTCCCCTCGAGACTTTTTGATCCATGGATTATTTAGAAATATTATTTCCGGGGCACCTGGGTGGCTTAGTCAGTTAAGCGTGACTTTTGCTTGGGTCATGATCTCATGATTCGTGGGTTCGAGCCCCGCATAGGGCTCTGTGCTGATTGCCAGCTCAGAGCCTGGAGCCTATTTCAGAGTCTGTGTCTCCCTCTCTCTCTGACCCTCCCCTGCTCACGCTGTCTCTCTCTCT